TACCTAATCACACAGCGTATTCCCTAAGTTCAACTTTGAAGAGCCAGAATGATTGTTGTGCGTTGAGATCGACTGGCACGAGTGTCAACTCTCAATTGCGACCCATAAGCCCCAAATAACATGCACAGAAATAGTACTAAGATAGGAACGCAAGCACAAGTCGGGTTGAGGCAGGTGGCATAATGCGATGTGCAGCAGAAGCGATCAACATGTGTAAAGATCAAGAGAGTGGGTTGGAAACATTCGTCGTGCCAAAGACCAGCGTTGCACTCAGTGACCGGTCTTGTCTGTTTTGACCCCTCAGGTGCGATTGGAATCCTGAACGTTGTGGTCCTCAGCAGATGCTGTCACCTGAACCGCATTGATTCCCGAGCAACGCTAGTAAAGGCGATTAACGACACGCCGTTAGAAATATGTCTCTAGAAGCTACAAAGGAATCCAAATTTGTATCACAATATGATATAAAAGTGAACAGTAGGCGTGGCAACCCTAACTGAATTGTTCACGATCGTTGGGCAAGCGAAATCTTAGCAGTGAGCAACACTGCTCAGAGGACGGTCATCTTGATCGAAAAATGAGATAACCTGAAAACACGAGGGATAATGTCTCGTATGCCACCGAGGTAAAATGGCACACTTGCGTCTGTTAGAGGCAAGTACCTGAAGTGAGCAGGAGGTTCACATTAAAAGTGCAAGGCTGAATTAACAATGCACGTCAGTAAGCTGTCCTTAAACAGACGGCAGCTCTGCCTAACCAGTGATATATATATATATACATATATATATATATATATATATATATATATATATATATATATATATATATATATATATATATATATATATATATATATGGTGTTGCGAATCCAAGGCAAATTTCATCGATTCGAATTCCATGGACTGATCAAAAGGGAGGTTATCCAGATGCAGAAGGCACTAATGCACGCGGAATAGAACCAATATGCGTACGCTCCCAAGCGAGTTATTAAACCAGGCCAGTAAGGCGGCTTATGTGGTACGTTTGATTGCGTGCTGCGTAATCTTGCATTTCAGAAGTAGATGTTGTTTGAGCTCCCGGTGTGGCTGCGCCTGATGTGCATGTTGACAAGGTGCCAACCTGTCTATTACCCACTACCTGGTCCAGACTGGCTACAGGATACAGTTCGTAGTTGCTGGAGGGGACGGGGTGCACCGTTCTCGTGACGGTGCTAGGCTCAAAGAGTGGTTCCATCCTGCGTGGAGTGGGCTACGGTCCAGCCACCGCCATGTATACGTCTGGTGTGCATGGTTTCCAATTACGCCGGAATGTTTCTGTTCTGCTTGTTGAAGGAGTGTGGGCCCGTTCCGTTGATGAACCGTGGCTCCCATCCACATGCCTCCCGGTCTTATTCCTTCGAGTTTACACCAGATATGGGGTGCGTGGGTGGGACTGTGGATGATGCAGCGCAAACCACCCATGGTCCCACTGTAGGCGCAGGCGCCCTGTGGCTGTCACCATGGAGGCCACAGTGACAGGCAAATCCGGATACGGATGTCGCCAATCCATGAATGTGAGTGACACACCCACGTAGTGGTTACGCTCACCTGCTCGACTACGTCATCGTACGTCAGCGTGATATGCGTGAAGTGCGTATGACACGTGCACTGCGTAGAGATGAATGTGGCACTGAACACAAGTTGGTGCGGACCACACTGTACATATTTTGTCGCAATATGTATTGCACTCCTGCCGTGAACCATCGGAAATGAAACGTTCCTTCCCTAGGTATTGTGGAGAAAAGGATGGAGTTGAAGAAGGCGATGACCGCACGACTGTGTGAGGTGGAATGTATAGTCACACTTGGCGACCTGTGGCATCATATTCGCTACCAAGTGTTAGCTGTTGCCGAGGTGATCATCTGGCACGCCAACTCTAAGCGACCTGATTGGTTTGATGCGAACAATCCGACGATTGGCGCATTGGTGTCGGGGAAGAATGCAGCATTTGCTGCACATGTGAAAGAACCGTGACTTGGTGAAGAAAAGTCAGTTTCGCAAACTTTGACGGTTACTGACCCGACAGCTCCGTCGCATTAAAATTGCATGGGGGACGGAGAAGGCGAAGCAGATGGAATGATATGTCGAACGTCACCAACCCAAGAAATTCTTTGACTCCTTGCAGGCGGTGTATGGACCGAGGTTGGAGCCACTGAGGACGCTGTTCGATGATATTTCAGGAGCTACCTGCACGCAGACTGCAGATCTGGCAAAAACACTTTGATTGTCTCTTGAACAACCGTTCAGAGATTGACTGAACTGTGTTGCACGGGCTGCCACAACAAGGGATGAAGACGTGTCTTGTCGAAACACAGAAACTGGATGAAATGCAGAATGCACTAGCTCAGCTGCGAAACGGCGTGCCGGGATCCGACCTGAAGTATTGAAACACGGCGGACCCGCGTTGGTAAATGCGCTGCACCATTTGGTGCAACGTGTATGGATTGAGGAGGAGGTGTCTCCTGTGCGGAAGGATGCGTTTGTGCTACCAATGTACGAGGGCAAAGGAAGAAAGCAATGTTGCACGAATTATCGCGGCATCAGTTTACTGAGTTGTGGGGGCAAGGTGATCACCCGAATCCTGCTCAACCGGCTAGTCAGTCAGGTTGTGAAACCGACCATGACGGAAGAGCGATGTAGATTCCGTTCGGGCCGCAGCATTATAGATATGGTGTTTGCAGCTCGTCAATTGCAAAGAACGACACCAGCGTTTGCACTCGCTGTCTGTTGATTTCAACAAAGCATTTGATACGGTGAGTCGCGAGGCATTGTGACTGGTGTTGGGTAAGTTTGGCTGTCCGAGTAAGTTGGTAAGTTTACTTGAATGTCTGCACAATGGTATGCGAGCGAGGGTGTAGCTGAGTGGAGAGACCTCGGATGACTTTGCTTTTGCCTCTGGTGTGAAGCAAGGCGGTGTGTTAGCTCCTGCCCTGTTTAATGTTTATCTTCATATCATCTTATCATGTTCGATTGATGCGGCTTTCGCTTACGGTGTTTTCTTGTGGGGCACAGTATTGATGGTGGGTTGCTGAACATCCCTCATCCATTTAGGTGCGAGAACTCTAGTCTGTGAAACAACTATCCGTATGTTGCTGACGACTGCGCGTTGTTTGCACACAGCGCGGATAAGCTGCAGCACATAATTAGAGCTCTGGCTTCGACAGCGACCAAATTCGGGCTCACTATCAACACAAGTAAAGATGTCTGTCTCTTTCAGCCTTCAACCGGAATGGAGTCCGTGGGCCTGCCCCAAATCCAGGTTGCCGACGAAGTGTTGTAAACCACTCCGAGATTTTGCTACCTTGGGTGCGTAATAACAACCGACCTGCAGATAACGAACGGGCTGCGCAGCCACGTGTCGAAGGCGGCGGCTGCATTTGCCTAGCTGAAAAATCACGTGTGGAACAACCACCATCTCACTGTCGGGACGAAGCTGCTGGTGTTAAGTTTATGGTGCTGTCCGTTCTTCTACACGGCATCAAGACCTGACCCTCAATCGAAAGGATGTCCGTTATCTGGAGCGCATCCATCAACAGTGTCTGTACCGTATTACGCGTATCGGTTGGCGCGACAGGGTTGCAGATACGGAGGTGTTGCGCAGAAGTGGAATGTATGCAGTGGACTGCATACTTTTGCGGACACTTGAGGTGTCTCGGTCATGTGGCGTAAGGATTCGACGCAGATACCGAAGCAGCTTTTATATGGACATCTGGGGAAACCGAAGCTTCGTTACCAGGACATGATCAAAGTGAGCCTCTCCCGTTCCTATTTGATTTCAGGTGCTGGGAATCGAAGGCAGTTGATCAGCGTGCATGGCGCGATCTGATTACTAAGGTAGTTTCCAAGGTGAAAGAGAAAGCCCTCGTGCATGCAGAAGTGGCAGGTGCGGAAGCGACAGGCGCCGATGGAGTGCACTCCATCGACGTCGAGTAGTCGCGAGTGCTTGGGTCAGGAAGGTCTAGTGAGCCACGAGCGCGGTCACTCTGTAGCAGCTTGAAACGACGGTGAGTGCTGCTGAGCAGGTAGACAGAACCGCCGCAGCATTGGTAGATAGGCTGCATACTTTTCCATCCGATTTACTAACGGTGTGTTGTGTTTCTTTATTTCATGTGGTGGGTTTGCTATACTTTTTTAGTACTTACTATGTTACCTCAAGTTTATGTCTACATGAATATGCTAGTTTCTCTCACACGTCGCTTAAACGAAAGATGGTGAAGTTCATTAATTTGATTCACGTTAGATCTCTTTTCCTGCCACCGTAAATTTATCGCAAATATTTTGATAACGAGTTTATTTCATATGCAAATTTGATGAAGATTTAAGTCGCCACACCCGTAAGCCTTAATCGACTTATTTTATTTGATGTCATTCCAAGTGATTGGCTGTTGCTTGATATCCCCGATGTGGATGTGCATGTTGACAATGTGCCTACCTGTCTCTTACCCACCACCTCGTTTATACTGGCTCCAGGAGACAGTTGGTCGTTGCTGAAGGGGATGGCGTGCACGGTCCTCGGGACCGGGTTAGGAACAAAGAGTGGTTCTATGCACATGGATTTTGTGTGGAGCGGACTACGGTCCAGCCACCGTCTTATGTGCGCTTGATTCCCCAAATGCATCGGGTTTGTGTTTGCTTGTGAAGGAGTGTGGGTCGGCTGCTTTAATGAGACGTGGCTGCCATCCACATGGCTCCCGGTCTTATTCCTTCCGGTCTACACTGGATATGGGGTGTGTAGTCGGAGCTGTGGGTGGTACAGCGCAAGCCAACTATGGTCCCTCTGGAGGCGCAGGCGTCCTGTGGCTGTCCCTGCGGAGGTCGCAGCGACAAGCAAATCCAGAGTCGAATGCCGCCGACCATGTTTGTGGATATAACGGAGCTGGTCCCATAGTGGCTTGTCAACCCAATGCAAAGAATAGACTAGGAAACTGGCTTAAGAGAATAATTGGGAATTGGTAGGGAATGTGATGGGAAAGATGGAAGTCTGCGCGGTAACCGAAAAGAAAACAGAAGTCTCGTGTGCTGGTGAAAAAGTATGGTGCGTTTATCGAATCGGTTTTGCTATGTGCATACAAACACTCGAGTAGAGCAACGTTAGCAAAAATTAGCAGAAAGGTGTGAAAGGAAAGCACTTGTTGTGAAATGGTAGACACACTGACTCGGTTAGCAGAAGGTTGCCGCACAGCGCGCTTAGGTAAGTGCATGTACACAAATGAGATGATTGGATATAAATGGGCATAAAGAAATAGGGCAAGGGCAAGCGAATCGCTCACGGAGCGCGAGCAAAATCAGAGCAGGAACGATCTGGGGTTTAACGGTAGATGGAATCTGTCAGGTTCGAAGCTCAGAAAATGGAGCACGCATTATAAAAACAGGAACATGTGGAAATAAGCAAATCAGACTGCCACAAGAAATCGGAGTCTGATCTAATCCCAAAAACGTTGAATCGCAGAGACTGAAGGGAACAAATAACAGGTTGAGCTAGACACTCGAAAGCATAAAACGACTCAACGCGTGCCTAAAAGGCATGGCTCTAAAGACACCAAGGAGGATGGAAAGGATTGGGGAAAGTGGGGAGGTGAATGAATTCCGAATCATCTGAATGAATCAATCAGGCAGACGACGGATGTGATCACAGTCGGATGGCGCCTTGCTGCAGTTGGTCGAAAGTTTCCTTGTCTAAACGGCAGTAGGCGTTTGATTTTGAATTCAGCCAATAGACGTGGTCGCCTTCCACGCTCGGATCGAATCCAGCTTTCACAAGTTCGACCTTTCGCATTTTAAACGTGCCTATAAGGAGGAAAAGTAAACTATGTGAAGTAAAGGGAGGAATAGGTTTATCGATCCAGATTGGGTTGGAATTGATATCACTTAGCAATGTGTCGAAAGAAAGCTTGGTATGCCAAAAGGAAAGGCAAGCTTTTGAGAATGAAATTGTTTACTGTTAGATGCAGGGGATCTGTCATGTTTGAGCTTGGATGTGTAAGCCCAATTCGAGCAGTGACGCACTTACGAGCAAAGCTCGGTCGTCTCAAGCATCGAGATTGTGTCCAAAGTGGGAACAACGAAGACATACCATGTCCGCTTAGTATACAGATCAGGTAAGCAAAGCACAAACGTTTCTAATCGCTGTGGTAAGTGCAACCAATCTAATCGCAGATACATGAGTCAGCAACCTCGAGCATCCGGTTACGATGATACTCAGGCACAGGAAGAGTATCGTGCCCACTGATTGACTCCGACATGCAAGCCGGTCTCCTCCTAGTACGTCTTTATTGCTCGCCTCCAGTGCAACAAGCAAATCGAGCACGCCTATGTGGGTATCCGTTTTTAATTCCCCCCGGGCAAAATGAAGTGCATCAAGGCAAGCACACGATGTGAGAATGGAAGTGGGTGATGCCCGAGCCGAATAGTTCGATGAGTACACACTGCACTGTTGAGTAGCATTGCTCAAAGGACGGAACGGAGGGTTACGGTGTTAGAAAATGCGGTAAGGAAACAGAACGTCCTTACTTTGAACCATATGAGAGGATAGCGGAACAACAATATTATCCTGTGCAGAGGCTGAAAATGAGCTGGAAAGCAATATAGAAGTAGTGCATACCTAACCGAAGTGAAAACCGAACTATTAAAACAATGTGTCCAGACAAACTGAGTGGAAGCGCCAGCCCGAATGTAAGCAGCGTTTAAATACACCTTGTGAGCGTGAATGATGAGCACCCACATGTCGCAAATGTTATCGAGAGACAGAAAGAGATCTACTAATTTCTTAAATCAAATAGTGGAAACGAATTTTAATAAAATTGATGGCAACTGAGAAAAACCATCGAATGCTTTCAAGCGGTTAGTGGAATAAAAGACAGATCCAGTCACAATAGGTCAGGAAAAGGACAGAAGTTAACTTAATGCAGACGGTAATCAAGCTGAACGCATGAGAAATTCCATTGGAGAAAATTGCAGAAGCCGTGGGCAATGCGCAAATGTTGCTGAGAGAAAAGGTAAAGGGTTCAAGAAAATAAATGCTAACGAATCAGCTGGGTTGACTTTCATCACCGTATCTTCAAAGGGAATGTCGCAGACGCAATCAGTCTTCTCAGTAACATCTGCTCCCATAGGTGTCGGAAACAACACGTAGCATTCCGTCACAGTACTTCCCTTCCAGAAATTAGCCACAGGGGAATGAGGACAATGCACAGAAGCAACTTTAGCAACGTCATGAATTCCTGTCGATGGTTGCCTACTCTTCGAAGTTCAGTTTAGTTCAGTTGAACAACTATTATAAGGACACCGAAGTGCGTCAGATATAATTGCAACAAGTCGTGTCACTGGAAAAGCAATAATAACGGCAAGAAATTGAGGTAAGTAAATGGAATCAAAAGAGGTGTGGGTTGAGCAAATCTAGAATATTAACAGCTAGATAAGATAAACTGAATGCAGGAATGCTACTGATTGCGCGAGTACGCCATGTCTGACGATTTCCAATCAGCAGTGGGGACAACCCCGGGGCGCCCATCCACGGAGACAGCAAGCACAAGCCTGAGCAAGTTTCTCGATCGATTTCTGCATACCTTCATACCAGATCATGGACTGATCACCTCGAAGTTTCACCCAATTTGGTGCAGCCACAGCGTATAATGCACGCCGATGAAGCCGTTAACAGGTATACGGAGGACCGTAAGCGATCAACATTCAGCAAACATCCGATTAAAGCACCGGAAGGCTGCTTGCCGAAAAACCAACTGGAGGATCTCAGCATTGCTCATCTGGTGTTTCCACCAGACGTGAGCAATGCTCCGAAAGTATCGGTGGGCAAACACGGCTAAGCGTTTAATGTCTCCACTGTGGAATGGTCAGGTATCCGATCCAAACGGTAACATTGGCCCTATCTCAACTTTATAGACCCTAACTTTCGCTGACAGGATGATAACCCACCGTCTAAATATATGGTTGGGCTGCTAAAAAACTACAGGGCTTTTCTGAGATGCGAATTAGGTATTCAGTGATGTGATCACGTAAACCTTAAGGTTAGTGAACCGATCCACCACTCCAGTAGTGGTACGGTGATAGCTAGAACCGGTGGCGTATCGGTCCAGTTCTGTACTTTGAAGGTTCAAAGCCCATGCCGAAGCGTGCGGCGCTTTATATCAGTCTAATCAGTGCTGCCCGCATAGGCACTGCGTTTGACTCAAGGTTTGTTAGTCTATCACCTGGTATAACCTCCATTCAAGAAGAGTATGAAGGAATATGGTCATCCATTTTCATTTCGAGCAGGAGCTTGAAGAAGAAAGGAAATATAGGACAATCCTTACAAACTCCACCTGCAGTTGGGAACTCAGGAGACAGCTTTCTGTAGATACTTTCCCAGACTCGGGAGTCCCGGTAGAGAGAATTCAGAATGAAAAGTTTAGATGGCACATCCTCCACGGATAAGCTGTGGAGAAGTCATAGTTGTTGAACGATTTGGAGGTTGTCAACGGACGACAATAAAAGGACAAAAAATCGTCCGAATGTATCAATGCGTTATATAATACCACACCCAAACCAAATCAGGTACGGTAAAGAGACCAACGTGCAGATAAGCACAAGATGTCCGACTGCAAATATCAGGAGAAGCTGAGCGGTGATAGATCGAGGTTAGTTCTCGGAGCTCAATGGCGCGGTGATCATAGCGATAGCCGAGTTTCATTACCAGCCCGGGCTAGCTCTATCTGACGTGTCTAAATGAGGACAAAACGCGTCATGAAATACAGGGATTGGAGACAGCAAGACCGAAATCCTCTACCCAACTACTCCCTTGTAACCAAGCAACTTTGCATTTTGGTTGAAGAGGCAGATATAGGATGATTCAGGCCGATGACTATTTCATCAGCAAGATGGCTTCCTCGTGGACCGGTATGGAGCTAGGTTAGTAGATAATAAGTGTTGTGACGGAATAATTCCTTGAAGAACACCATAAGTTGTAGAGGCGCTTCTACCGCCAAACCTAGTGACCTGAGCATGTTTGGTGGAATTATCCTCTGGAAAGAAGACTAGGGGAGGTAAAAGGCCAAAAGCGTGTAAATCTTGTAACAGCAATTCATGGATAACACAACCGTAGTCAAGGAAGCAGACAAGTCTATATTTACTCTCACAGTCTAGTGACGATAACACATATTGCACTAGACAAGCCGCTGCGTCTAGTGTACACCTTTAACTTCTGTATGAAAGCTTATGTGGGTATTCTAAGCGGGATTCAGCCACCATTCTTACAAGAAAAAGTTTCACAAGGACCTTCAAGGTCACAGCGGTGCATGCAGAAGCCCATATTTACCCGTCCCTGACCCGGTGGCTAAAGATCTAGAGGTCCCAACTAATATCCCAATCGCCCCGTGTTCGAGGTTTACTATATCCACTTAATGAAATAAAAGAAGGCCGAAACGGATCGTGATGTGCGGAATTTTCGGGCGGGCTCGAATCCGCGCAGGAGTGGGCGTCCTCGCGGTATACTCAGCCCGCTAGTGAGTGTTTACGGTCGCACGGCAGCGAAGCGCTGTTACGGCGTACAGCTGACACATTATTACATTAATAATGTGCGCCCGTTTCTTGATAAAATCAGTGATCTCAGTGCCATTATGCAGCGAAATGAGTATGTAATTACAGGAATCATTATGTTGCAAGAAAGTCGGTTGCACACTGTTGCGGTTATTCAACTCAATGGCTATTTTCACATCAGGTCTGACCCCACCCCAGTAAGCCTCAGTTTCGTTGATCGACGCTGATACGATTCAGCAACTGTGATGTTCACAAACTCAAGCTAGGATCCTACCCTTGTGAGTAAAGTCATGGGTTCGAATCCGACAGGATTAGGCGGGTGCGCGCTACTGACGAGTACCAATAGGACGAGACGGCCGTGTGGCACATTCCTGGATGTGTAGTGGCTGTCTGCATGAGTCCACTTGCGACGAATCTTCATAAAAAGCCAATAAATCCCACTACTACTTACAGGTAGTAAAGAAACAATTCGTGGTGGAGTAAAATAACTAGTTGACTAAGTGAATGAAAGATGCATCTGTTACAAAGCAAGCTCCCAGACGGTATCAAATGACGTAAATGTAAGACGAAAGGAACCCATAAACACCGCTTACTGGTCATTTCGATGCGCTCACAAAGCCGAAGGAACAAAGGACGTGCGTAAACCGGCAGATGATTCGTAACTTCCTGGAGTATTTTCTGCACCATGCTCTGTTCTTCGTCCGGTAGAAGTTCGTTAAAATTCACCACGATAGCTGCCATACCGGCTTTACCTTCGTTACCAGGGACAGACACACCGTAGACACTGACAACCATATCCGGAAAGGCCCGGAGCATAACAGCTTCGACCTCGGATGTTGAAACATTTTCACCACGCCACCTGAAGGTGTCACCGAGACGATCGCTGAAGTAAAGGTAGCCAAGTTCGTCTCGGTAGAGCAAATCACCTGAAAGAAAGAGAGGTAACTAGAAATAATAAAGACAACCTACAACTCAGTTGCCAAGCGGAAGCGAGCAACCTGACTCATTAAGTCAAAACCCAAATGAACAGCTCCGCAAAGAAAGTGGCAGAGACGGGCGGATTGAAAAGATCTATTCTGACGTTGCTGATGTCGGCCGTTGGAAACGAACTAGCGAAAGATAAGTACTCTTTCTTCTAGAACAGACAGAGGTGGTAACTCAACGAGGACAACTGACATGATTTGACAGGATAAAGATTGATCATAAACCCTGGCAACGCAGAAGAGAGAGACAATAGCGGCAAGCGAAGAGAAAAGTTACAATCTACACCATACGGAGATTCAATAAACCTAACACCCAAAAATGAGTAAATATGGCAGCCTTAAAGCAGTCAGAGCTCGTAAGCACCGGTCGACTTTTTACGGTAATTAATAAGGAAGTCTTAAGTGTACTGGACAGTGATTATTGAGCCAAAGGAAGAATCGTAGGCTTGAGTGCTGGAACAGGTGGGTTTGTACGTTAGTCTGACGGGGGTATACACGCGTGTGGATAAGGTGCGGTTGAGATGATGAACAAGTTCAATTGGTATATTTTGAAACCGACTTTCTGTATGAAGCGCAGTTCTGCTGGTCAACTACGAACAGAACGCTGAAATGCGATAGGTCCAGTTGTCTCGAACTAAGTAGCTAAAGCGACTGGGAAGAGTGAAGAAAAAAATGGGATGCAACCAAATAAGAGAGAAGAAGTGAATGGGTGTACTAGTTGGATGGAAAAGTTAGAAAGCAGAAGTAACGTAGGAAACGTAACAGAGTCACGTTCCTCATAGTCGAAAGTCAGCAACTAATCCTGTGATCGATTGCATGAATTTTGTCTGGGAAGACGGTTGATGACAATCTGATCAAGCGTACTGGTCAATGGTGGATAGTGAGAGGCGCTATATCACATCTAGTAACTTATTCACGATGGTCGTTGTCGTCACCCGTAGCTCAGTGGTCTCAACCACGGACTGGTAGTAGTCGAGTTGAGGGTTCGCGTCCCACCAGGGTCCGATGGAATGCGTACTGCTGAAGATTCCCGAAAAGATGAAACGCGCGTACAGTGCTTTTCCGGGCGTGTGGCGGCTGTCTGAGTGAGTCTAGATGTGACGAATTTCTACCTATACCCTTCAACTCCCCCTACTACTATTCTGTAATTTGTCAATTTCTTCACGTCATTCAATGGACAAATTTAGGTTTCACCCAATCAAGCGTAGTATTGGGGACCAATACAAGCCAATCGACCGAATGAATTTAAGGAATCAGCATAGACGGTAAATCCGAAGGGTTGGTGTGGCGTCAGCCTGCTCGTTGCCGGTTGCACGGCTACCAGACACGAGTTGTAATACGCGGATACCAAGGTGTCGCTAATTCCCCCAGTACAATGACGGCAGTACCGCAGTATGCATCCTAGAATCAACTAGTAGTCCGCTGAACCCATAGGCAGTTGAAGCTCTGAAACTCCACGATACTTATCGGTTGGCAGCGTAACCAATGAGGAATAGACTAGGATCATTCGACTGAGTAGCTAAACACAAAAAGTAGAAGTATGATGTGAATGCAGAGTTCTTGTGGTACAATAGCTGAGGTGTTTTCCACATCTAGCCAACGTTTATAATGGTTGAATGATGACTGCAGAGTTCCAAGGGGGCCAAGTTGAGAATGGAGGTTCGGGAAATCCACGACAGGCAGTGGAGTAAACCAACATGAAAGGTAAATTTTAGCACTTTCTAACGTGGGCTTCATGCGACCTCTCGAAGCATTTTGGTTTGGTGAACGTGCTATAACGGCCTAGTAGTAACTACTCTCTCAGCCGGAACGAACGACGCAGTCCACCCGAGTTCTACCCCCGAAGTGAACGGCACGGCCTTGTCGATAGCCTGGCGAAATGGAGCAGACCGCAGTGCGTGTTGATCGTCAGGAGGGGCTAGCACTAAGGGGTAACTTCGACCTGTAGGTAGGCGTCTACCATGTCGATAGCGGTTAAACACGTACCACCATTGAGCATTTTGGACAGGTTCGCTAGAGTTGGTAGTGAATCGCAATTCGGTTCCAATGCAACAATGAGGTCGGGGAATAAGTCGGCAGAGACAGGGAGAGATCTATTCGTTTTCCTAACCACGACAATTGGCGCTGCCAAGATGGTGCAAGCATACCCATGTCTTTCAACCGGTTGAGCTCGGCATCAACCAGAAGTAGGACTGCATACAAGACAGGCCATTTTAGACGGAACACTGATTGAGCCCAGGTGCCAGCTGTAACACGGTCAGTATGCGCGTAAAGCTGCCAAGACCATGCTGGAATATTAACGCGAATCGCCTGATGATGTCATCGGTTTTGTCAATCGGTACTGTCGGAGAACTTACCGTGCTGCAGGTGGCCTGAAAAGACAAATCGGCAAAACTAAGGTTTCCGAGCCAATCAAGATAAAGGATGCTGAGCTTCACTTTTGTGATGCAGCAGATCCTGTAGATTGTGACGTCTCGAAAGGGGACGCAAAGTGCAGCTGCCCAGTTGAATGCACACGAGTACCACAGGCGCTGGTGTTGTATTGGGAAGCCGACTCGAATGACGGCTTGCCAAAAGATCGCCAGATCCTCGGAGATAATAGCGATGTCCGAGGCCATGTCCAGCCGTAACGGCGCAGGTTTGCCGTTGATCAAGGAGTTGTCAAAATCCTCAAAACGATTGACAGCTAGTACTAATCGGTCTAGTGCAACCTGGCACGTTTAGGCGCTGTCACATATGAGGGCAATGTCATCCGCATACTCCAAGTCAAGAAGTCGCTCACCAGGAAGTAGTTCCACATCTTCTAGGTCGTGCCCAGCGAAGGCTGTTTCCATGACTTCATCAATAGCAAAGTTAAAGAGGAAAGGTGATAGCGGGCAACCTTGCCTCACACTGCTGGTGATAATGAAGGGTGGCGATAGTCTGCTATAAACTAGCACTCTGTCCGAACTATGCGCGTAGAGCGCTTTGATAATGTTTACATATTTATCAGGTACACCTTTCCTCAGCAGACAACTCCAAAGAGCCCATCGATTGAGTTAGTCGAAGGCATCATTTATGTCAAGAAACACGACAACGGTTGGTCGCCAATAAACATGACAATGCTCTAACAATTGATGCAAGGTGAAGATGTGGTCGATACAGCCCCGACATCGACGAAATCCGGCTTGCTCTTCACGAATCTGGCTTTCACGAGTGCCAGTCAGTCTGTGGAGAATGACAGAGGCAAGCAATTTAGAGGCAATTGAGATCGGACTTATCCCTCTATGATTGCCACATTTCGAACGGGAGCCTCCTTTGAAAATTGGGACAATGACGGAGCGGCTCCAGTCTATCGGGACAGTCTCCTAAATTTTCATTAGCAACTCATGTAAATCATCTATTAGAAGCAGGTCCCTCGAATTTAAGGAGGGCTGGGGGAATTCTATCTGCCCCTGCGGCCTTACGCAATTACAACAGCCTGATCTCACGTGCGACTTTTGCGCGTGAGGGCGGATCCAAGGAGACGGCCTAGGGAGAAGGGCACTCAATGCCCGAAAAAGAAACCGATAACTCAGGATGGTTAAATTGCTTTGTAAAGTGTTCAGCCCAACGTTAAAAGCGTTTTGACAGGCTGTGGATCGGCTGCCCACTCTCGTCACTTATGGTCTCGCTAACACCAGGTCTTCTGCTGCCCGTTTCCCGTATCAGACAGAATAACTTACGATGCTTGCCAACGGTAGCGGCTGTTTCCATTTTTGATGCACGATGAGACCACTAGGCTTCGCAGTCTCTCTTCAGGGTAACCCGCCGTTCTGCCGAGATTTTTGCGAGTCTCACTGTATTCGCTTTCAGCCGGAAGACGTCGGTGAGCATCCATAAGTTCCAGAGATTGTGTAGAGACCCATTGTCCAGTTAGGCAATTTGATTTGCCACATGAAGATGTGCCTGCTGATAGTAAGGTTTGACGAATATGCATCCAGTGATCTGCGACGGTTTTCAGTGGGCGGTTACTCAGCGCGGATATCAGCGCACTTTGATACGCATTCAGAACACCTGTCTTTGCCGGTTGCCTGGTGTCAATCCGTTCACATCGACGTTGCGAACGTTTACCAAAACGCACACAGAGGTAGGCGCAAACAAATGTCTCGTCAGAGTCAATGCTTGTGTTCCAAATCGAGCGACAGTTTTGGACACAGAATCTGTAGCGGTAAATGATCGCGATGTGATCGATTCGCGTCCATGGCTGGTGCGGGGCTGTTGGGCGCCAAGTCACGCTTCTGCGGGTGCTGTGTCGAAAGTTAGTGCTCGCGAGAAAGAAAGGAGCATCTTCACACAGGTGTAACAACCGCTTACCATTATCATTATGTGAGCCTACACAATGTTGGCCACCCAGATGAAGCTCATCAGAAGAAAATTTTCCGACTTGTGCATTTAGATCACCAGCAAGCACCACAGTATCCGTGCTTCTTCTGTAACGAAGAAGATCGTTAAGTCGGTGATAGAAATCATCTTTCACCGAATCAGGGCTAAAGTTTGTGGGGGCGTAAGCAGTAATGACAAAGAGGCACCGTTTGTCTCCATGCGACTTCGAAGTCCGGAACAAGCTAGCCAACCTAAAGGCGCACATCCGGGGACTCAAAACAAAGCCGACACCAGCTTGATCCTCATTTGAAGCTGCATCATCACCAGACAGGCGTAATGAGAATGTGCCACCAGTGTCGCATGTAGGGGACCGCAGAGTAACCACGGAGCTCGAATCTTGCAGGCGGGTTTCCGATAAACAGCAAACATCGATCGATAGGGTCTCGAGTGTTCGGGCAAGTGCTGCCTGTTGGCCAATCTGTAGCAAAATGCGCACGTTGAGGCATGCCAGTCTGAAGGAGGATCGAGGACACAAAAGGGAAACCGATGAGCCGACGTTATCCGCTTGGTTGAACATGGACTTGTCGACTGGATTGGAG